TCCGTCTTATAAATCGTTCCAAATTAGTTGGAAGAAGCTTATTTGCCATAATTGATGTGATACAAGGAACGAAAACTATCTTTTTGTACTTTATATGGCGTGTGGGGGGATGATTTTCATAAAAAAATTTCAAACTTTGGAAAAAAAAGTTTTCATTTTTTTTATTTCATTTAATTTTTTTATGTTATTACTGCTGCTCCATAAACCTTAAAAGGCAGTCGGAACATTCAGGGCTTCTTCCTGATACGAGCAGTCTTGTTTATTTCTTTGTTTTTGTTTTCGCCGAAAAATTAGCTGCAACAAATAATCATCGGAGAGAGATGAGTGGTATATCATATATCATACTAAAGCCATTTCAGTTGTGATACGAACGTTATTAACCAACTTTTAAAAAAATTTCCAGTTTCAAAATTTGAGTTATGTATCAAGAAAAATAGTTTTGGATGTTTCTTTCAGTCCTCATCAGTCAATAAAGATTTTCAAAAAAGTTAAACCTGTTGTACAAAAATCAAGAAAAAATTTTAAAAAACGTCCTTCATTCATTAATTCTTCATTTTCAATTTATGTTCTTCACTCTTTATTTTTAAAAAAGTCAATCATGCCTAACTCACTAATTCTCTACACCATATAGTATATTTTTCGATTAAGTGAAATTTAAAACTTCGAAAAAAAAACTTAAAACTCAGTTTGCCAACAAGAAACGCTTCTTTTCTTTCCGCACTCTCCTTTCAATTTGGCTTTTGAACAAATAGTTGCCCTTCTGCATTATCCCGGATCAATATAAACTCATTTTGCGAAAACAACATATTGCTCAGATCTGCTTCTTGTTAACCCCGCTCACTTATGAATTTAATTCAAGAACAAGATGTTGCTTCTTTTACAGTTCCTCCTTTTTTACTGTGTATTTGACCAAAGGAAACTCTCTACAACATTCGAAACAACAAAAAACTATCAGCGAAGTTTCTTGGAACTGCATCACGCAAGCTATAACAGGACTAAAATCAAAATGACTTTCGTTTTCTTTAAAAACTGCATAAACCACTAGAAAATTGCATGCTGTTAAACAAATATAACGAAAATAAGCAGAAAAACGATAGCTCGACTACTAAAACTTTCCACAAAAACTTTCCACGCAAAAAACATTGTCATCTCAAGCATTTGCGCTAGCTCTTGACTGAGCGGGCAAAAGAAATAGCTGGAAAATAAGTTTACCTTATTAAAATATCAGGTTTCAACTACTATTTTTGCTAATTTAGAGGTAGCACACATGCTTCAGACGACAAATGTCTGCGGTTGGAGCACGTTATGAGCGTAACTTTTTGGGTTTTGAATCTGAAAGATTTACTTGTCGAACTATTTTTTATCTGCTTTTTTGTTGTCTACGTTTCACAGCATGTTTCATTTTTGATTAAAGCAATTTTCACAAAACAGAATTTTTTTTGTTTTTTTTTCTGTATTGTTATGGGTGATTCAGTTCTTCCAAAAAGTTCACCCAATTTTATGCGTAATTTTTTTACGATTTAAGAACTTATTTTAAAAGTAAATTTTTTTTTTCATTAGTGAACATCCATGATATATGGTTGCAAAAAGTCTCCCAACAATGACTTTTATTTCAAAAGCAATAAATTATCAATTTTTCAATTTTTTCAAATAGAATTTCATAAATTCAAACTTTAATTACGGTTGTGAGTAGCAAGCGTTATCCAATGGGAGTAGAACTTTTTTTCAGTCTAACAATTTGTGCGACAAAAAAAATTTAATTATTTTGCCTTCTCTAGAATTTTGTCTTCAGCAGATTCATATAAAACATATCTGATATTAGATAGTCATTTTCTCGAGTTAGAGTTACATCCACAATTTAGTCTGTTTTAGTTTTTATTTACAAAGTGCTGTTTTTGTTCTAATAATTTGAAAAACGTGAAAGAATTTGTATTTGGGCGTGTTTTAGTTTTTTCGTTTTATTTTCCTCGCACAATCAGGTACCATAAATAATGAGTCGTGTGATATATCTTATTAAAAACCTTCAATCGTGATTCGAATGACATTAATTTTTTTTCTCAGTGTTAAAAAAACCGGTTTGTTTTTTCTTGATTTTTTTGGGATAATTTTGTGTAATTTTTGATAATTTTGCGTAACTTTTTACGCTTTTTTTTCGTGTTTTAGTCATTTTTCTACAAAATTTTTTTTCTGATCAGCCGATTTGACTATGAGTGTAGAATCTGCCAAATTTCTCTTTTTTTGTTCATTCACATCTTTTCATCACCCACGCAGTAAAGAGGACACTAATTTGAGAAACGTTTTTTCTTTTCAAGACTATGGTCGGAACATTATGTGCTATTTGCACAGTAACAGGTTATCCTTGTTTGCTTCCTATTTGGTCAGTTTGGTCAACCCCAGTGGTCTGCGCAAAAAACTTTCTAGGGGGGGGCGGTTTTTTGAGTTGTTTCTAGGGGGGGGGGCGTTTTCTAGTTCGGCCATATTGACTTGTCGAGCATTCCATAAATACTATAAGGACCATATTTTAACAACTTTTATTTTGCACCCCAGGCCAAAAAACTCAAAAAACAGGCCAAAACAAAACGTTTTTTCTTGGCACTTCTTTATGAAAAATTTGACCAAGAAGTTGAATGTTTTTGTCGCGCGCTCCCATTTCAGACTTTATTATTTTGGTGCCAAAAGCGCCTTTAGAAAAATTTTGAGGTTGGTCAGTCAAAACTGGATGTTGTAAACTATATAACAAAGGGGAACCCTTTGGAAAAATATTGGCAACCAGAATTGAAAAAGAACGGTTGTTCCCCCAACCCCACACCTCGGCACGCTACTGGTCACAACCCATATAATATCTTTTGATGACGAAAAAGTGTATGCGTGTGTAAAAAATTAGGAGGGGTTCGGGGCTGCAAAATCTTTGATGACTCTTTCTCTAACATCATTTTTTTCAGCCCAACTGGCACCTCCTTTAGTGTTTTTGACTCATTGACCGCTGAGTAAGGTTTGTTTTGAGACTAAATCAACTCTGGCAATTTTTTAGTTTAGCAGTTTATTCATAAATTGAACTTTTCGAATCAAGGCAAAGTATGAGAATTACAGCAGTCTCTAATATGGATGTCGTAACACTATAACAACCCATATAATATTTTTTTGATGACAAAAAAGTGTATGCGTGTGTAAAAAATTAGGAGGGGTTCGGGGCTGCAAAATCTTTGATGACTCTTTCTCTAACATCATTTTTTTCAGCCCAACTGGCACCTCCTTTAGTGTTTTTGACTCATTGACCGCTGAGTAAGGTTTGTTTTGAGACTAAATCAACTCTGGCAATTTTTTAGTTTAGCAGTTTATTCATAAATTGAACTTTTCGAATCAAGGCAAAGTATGAGAATTACAGCAGTCTCTAATATGGATGTCGTAACACTATAACAACCCATATAATATTTTTTTGATGACAAAAAAGTGTATGCGTGTGTAAAAAATTAGGAGGGGTTCGGGGCAGCAAAATTTTTGATGACTCTTTCTCTAACATCATTTTTTTTCAGCCCAACTTTAGTGTATTTAGTGTTTTTGACTCATTGACCGCTGAGTAAATTTTGTTTTGAGATTAAATCAATTCTGACAATTTTTTTGTTCAGCAGTTTGTTCATAAAATGAACTTTTCGAATCAAGACAAAGTATGAGAATTACAGCAGTTCTTGTCGACTTTTTTTGAGTTGGCGGCTTAAGTCCCATTAAACGGCAGTTATTTTACCAGATGAAGCTTATGTTAACATTGCCTGATTGCATACTTTTAAAACCAACATGATACTAAATATTTCCATTTAAGAATCTAAGTTCACAGTTTTCATCACTGCTTTTGCTCGCTTAACTTAGAAATAAATGCTTTTTTATGTTTACCCGACATGGAGTTTTCTCCCAATTGAGCAATGTTTATGAAAAACAATGGTAAATTTGATCTGTTCCTGTAATGGTGATGGTCATTGCAGTCTAAGAAACTTCACCTCAAATTTTTTGTGAAAATTTTCAAAAACATTGTCTGGCGAATTAAAAGTATTTGCTTTTGATACTTTTTTTTTCGTTTTTTAGGTCATACGAAAAAAAATTGACTCCTTATGCCTTAAGTTATCTTAAAAAATCATAGTTTTTTGGTTTTTGTTCACGAATAAAGTCTGATAATATCTGGCTGCAAAATCCAATTTTTCTCTATTTGACAATTAAATTTTCAAAAAATATTTGTTTGTCAAACGTACTTTGATGAAATCAAAAAGTTTAGTTATGCTTATGCGATTAGTGAGCGCTGTCCAATCGGAAGATAGACATCACCATTGATCGACCCTATCAGAACTATTGATAGCCTCTTCCATGTTCTGCAAATTCATTTTCTAAGTATTTATTGAAGTTTGCTGGCGCCATTTCAGTCTTATCTGACTAGCGGCGACGCAACTCACCGTCTTGATAATTGAGTGGTTAAAAATAACGCATATCGTTTTCTCTGCCAATCACCCAAAACAAAAGAAGATGTTTAATTTGACAACTTTTTAAGCTGAGCCTTGGCAGGGGCGGATTGGGGGGGGGGGGGGGGTGGATTGAGGGGGGGGGGGGCGGATTTAGGGGGGGGGGGGGGTCCCCCCTTTGTACTATTTTGAGATATCCATATTTGGTGATGGACCCTAAAAATTTTCTAAAGGCGCCTTTGGCGCCAATATATATTTACTTTAAGGGGCGCGCGCCAAAAAAAAAACAAATTTTTTGGTCAAAATTTTCTAAGTGCCTAAAAACGCCTTTTTGGCCTGTTTTTCAAAATTTTGCCTGCGGCGCAGAAAATTTGACAATAAACAGGGTCTTTTTAGTGCTTTGGGAGAGCTCAGAAAATCAATTCGGTCGACCTAAAAAAATCCTAGATCCGCCCCTGAGCTTTGGTATGTTAACCAAAAACATGCGACGATTCTGAAGCTTTTGAACGAGCAAGTTAATGATATCAATTGAGTTTTTTTAATTGCTATGATTTTACGACCGCAGTTTTGGACCAAATATAGAGCAAACATAAAACACAACCGTTTTCATTTTACCGCTTTGTAACACTTCAATTGTTCTTTCTTGTTCTGAGAGCCGTTCTACGTTAACAAAATTAATTGCCAGTTTCTTTTTTTTTTGCAATTTTCACAGATATATTCGACCACATTCCGACCACGCCAAAATCGTGACATCTTTCTTAACCTTTTCATTCTGAAAAATTGAATCGCAGCTCTATTTATATTTGGAAATGATCAAGCAAAAAAAGAAGGGCTTGACCGATAGCAGCTATGCAGGTGTGTCTGTTTCTGGACTTGGATCCAGTGGCGATGACTGGTACTTGAGTGGAATGAATGGTGACCGGTCGGCATCTTCAGTTGTTTATCTCCCAGAGATCAAAGAAGGTATTTTGAAGAAGAGGGTGACTCATCAGCGACAAGTGGCAGATTGGGCCAGAAGCGAATCTAAGGTAGAAAATGATTCCCCATTTTCGTCGTAAGTCGAAACAACAGTAAAATTTGATAAGGTTCCAGATATTAAACTTCAAATTATACAGACATAATCCCTATGAGCTTTCATTTTTTGAAGGTTGCTCGTTGCTCGTTGCAAGCCAGTAGGCTTATGAGCGTCCTTGGTCTTTGATTATGTACAAGCACTTTTTGAGCTCGGCATTTCAAAAAACCAGAAATGAATTCAAATTCATCTCTATGACTATGACATGGGCATCTATAGTAAGAAACAAGATCGGATCTACCGAAGCCCGACGGATTTCGGCTGCAATAATGAAACTACGTGAAAGTTCTTGACGCTAACAAACGGCCTTGATTCATAAAAAAGAGCGTAGGTTAATAAAATTCTCAGTCTGGAATGTGAAAAATAAGAGGAATGAACTATGCTTAGAAAAAGTAGAACAAAACATAAATGTTTAAAATCAATGAAAAAAAGTGAAATGTACAAACTATAGAGTACGTAAAACGTAGCAACCGTACTAAACTAGAAATGAGATTAATTTAAAACAAAATTGGATATTTTATCAAAAACCTCTAAAAAATCTTCAATAAAAAATATTATCAATTTTAATGGACTATTTTGACAAAAAAAAACAATTCGATTATTGGATTATAATTTGTAAATTTAGAGATACTGACTATACAATGAAAACATAATCGATTATGGACCATGGGCGCTCGGTGTGCGGTCTAGGTGGGAAATCATAAACTCAATTGATTTTTGCCCGAATTAATATTTTTTCAATAAGAAATTAAATGGAAGTGCTCATAGTATACTTCTTGATGTTTTCAATGCAGAATATGCAATCTATTGATGTAAAGTTACTAATGATATAATATTGATATAATTTAAAATTTATGTAATGTATTTTTGCGTTCAATTAAATGGTTTGGCGTATTAACTTTGTTTCTTGAAACTATTCAAAGAAAACATTTTAGGTCGAATAATGTAAGCAATGTTCGATATCAAGCAAAATTTTAACAGCACATATTTTAAAAATTTTAGTTTTAATATATGGTGTCAATATTTTAAACTAATCAAAATTAAAAAAAATTAAATCAGCGAATAACGTAAAGACTCAAAAGGCGTATCATTTTGAAACCCTTTTGGTTATGCTTGGTATCTTCAAAAGAATGCAATATTGAATAAACTGGTCCAGTTTTTTGATTTTTTGGGCTAAGAGAGTCAAAAAATTTTTTCTGTTTCAACTTAAGAGAGTCAAAAATTCAACTTAAGTAAATTCTGTTCCTATTTTAACGTTTTTTGAAGTTTAGTTACGGTGTTTTTTCTGCTTTTTTTCACCTAATTTAATGGCCATTTCTAACCCTAATCAAAAAACTTCAAATAAAAAACTTAGCAAAAACAAATTTTCAATATAGAATTGTTTTTTTTTGGACTTTTCTTTGGTTAGTTTGGCTGCTAACAGTTGCCTACTGTTTTAAGTTGTTCATAGTTGGGTCTTAAACATTTTAAGTAGTTCATTGTTCATGATGGAACAAAAATCAGAATATAGGGATAATAGGAAATGTACTACCCAAACATTGTGCCAGTAGCTTCAAATATTTTCAATTGATTTCTTGATTAACTAACTGCCTTACAAGTAATATCAGAGAATAAGTAATTTTGGTTGCTTTATATGGTAGCATTTTTATACTATTATTTAAATTACCCTAGATTTCAAAATTTAAACTCGCATAGACCAGCAAAACTAGTCAGAGAGATTATGTTTCTAAAGTGTTTCATGTCAGAACCTTCTGTGGTACTTGGATAGCTACCGGTTATCCTTTTTAAGCATTGTTGGTGTTTATATATTTTGAATTGTTTATCATTAATGATGCGGCGAAAATAAGTCAAAGTATACCATAAACAGAAATGAGAAGATAAATTGTGCCAGCTGAACGCTAGTAAAATTGCTTTGAAGTGTTTTTCATTTTAATTGTCTGATACATAAGTGCAATACAATTAGTACGAAGAGTAAATATGGTTGCTTTTGCTTTATAAAACTATTATTCCAAAACTATTATTCAATGCAATGCTCATGTTTGAAGCGAACAATTTTAAAAACGCATAAATCAGCGAAATTGTTCAAAGAGCTGTTTTTTTTTCACGCAGCGGCAAGAGTTTCATGAATCGCAAAAACTCGATTCAAAAATAATAACTCAAAAATAACGACTCAAAAACAAAATTAATTATAAAAAAACAGAACTGCTTGTACCAAGGCGGCGGCGCCTTGATTGTTGCGAATGCCCAATAGAGCATATGGAGTAGTTTTCAATTTAAAAGAGAACAAGACTGCTCGTATCAGGGCGAAGCCCTGAATGTTCCGACTGCCTTTTAAGGTTTTATGGAGCAGTAATAACATTAAAAAATTAAATGTAATAAAATAAAATGATATTTTTTTTCTAAAATTTGAATTTTTTTGATGAAAATCATCCCCCCACACGCCATTTAAAGTACAAAAAGATCGATTTAGCTCCTTGCAACAAATCAATTATGGCAAATAAGCTTCTTTCAACCAATTTGGAACAATTTTAAGACGAATTAACTCTCCGCTTACGCGTTGATGGCGCGAAATATATCGCGCGTTAATTGTCGTAAATTGGCCAAAATGACAATCTTTAAACCCCCATAACTTTACAAAAAATGATCACAGGTAAAATATCTTTTCAAATTTGAGCTCAAGACAACAATACCTTTTGAATGATATAAAAAAATTCCGTCAAAAATGGCTAGTTAAAAAGTCGAAATTTGTCTGAAGAAAAAAAAACTCACCCCGAGCACAAATATTCCGTTACTTTTGTATCGAAAGTCGAAACAATTATGAATTTTTCAAAAACAATTCAAATTTAAAAAAAAATTTAAATTTGTTTTATTGAAAGTCATTCCCCGATCGCTATTTGGGGGTAAAATTGGATAATTTCAACGTCATAATTAGAATAAGTAGCATAGGTACCGGGCAATCATCCGATAAGTCAAGTATCCGAAAAACAAAAAATGTTGCAATCATCCGAAAACCTCCGACATTTTTCAAAAACTAGGGCGAAGATCCGACTTCTACCGTGCGCTTATAAGATGTTGAATTGCCAACAGAATAATGATCGACGCAGTCGTGCCCCGCGTTGTAACTTTGCAGAGGGTAAGAATCTATATGAAAATAAGAGCCGTTTTATGTCAAAAAGCGTTGACGCGCGCGTAGCCAAACAGGTGAAATCAAAACAAAAACAAAACTCGGGTAATTTGAAATCGGCTAATTAGACTATGTTTTGTGTTTGAAACTTCAACGTCATTTTATTGCTTAAATAGAGCCTATTGTGATCGTCCGATATGTGAAACTTCAGAACCTATATAACTATATAAATGTTACGCAATAAAATGACGCAAGATTTGCAATTGCAAAACATCACCGTTCATATAGCCAATTCAAATTGAGCCGACACACGGTTTAAAACTGCCGGTGCGCGTAATAAGTATGCATGGCCGCTTCGCGCATACAGCCGGCTCAGTTGTTAATAAATAATCTTACCCTCTGCTTACAAGCTCACAGCACGTTGACATGACTGCGCCATTCACTATTAATTAGGCCGAAGCAGCATCTTTTAAGTGAACGATAGAAATCAGATCTTTGCCCCTATTATTTTGAAAAATGGCGGAAACTTGCTCAAGTAAACCTGTTTTTCAGATGTTTGTATAAATTTTGGGTTTTCGGATGTTTGACATACCGGATGTTTGCATGGTACGCCAGATTTTTGCCTTAGACGGAAATAGCATACCTCAAATTAATTTGGAATGATTTCTGAGCCGGATTTGTGCGAGTTAATTTTTTTCGAATTGGCCGAGCTGACAATCGTTAAACCCCCATGACTTCACGAAAAATCATCACAGGTAAACTACCTTTTTAAACAGTAGTACCTTTCAGATGATAAAGAAAAAAACACGCCAAAATGACTAGTTAAAAAGTCAAAATTGATTTGGAGAAAAAAAGTACCCCTAACATAAATATTCCGTCATTTCTTCTTCAGGATAGTCGGAACAACCAACTGATTCTCTGAGTTCTGCGCCAAAAAAATGTTTAAAAACAACAAATCAAAAATGAAATTATTGAGCACTTTTTAGGTTGGAAAGTTTTCGGCGCGCATTCTCCCTCACTATAGTTCTGGAACCTGATCTAAACTGCGTTTTATTATTGGATAAATTAGATAATTTATCACTATAAAATATTTAATATTAACCAATCATATTCCATCTAACTAACAACCCACTTATTTGTAAGTGCTGAAATTACTTGTAATTTCAGCACCAGAGAGATTTGAATTTAACTTAGAAATTAGTTGCCTCTCCAAAAGAACTTCAGCCGCCGCAATAAGCCAGTATACTCTAGATCTATTGAGCCTAGCAGAGACTAGTTAAACACCCTGAGACTAGTAGATATAAGAGTAAGATTAGGATCGGTATTAGACTAAGAAGTTGCACGAATCTATCTGGCCGAAAATAAGATAGCGTGACGAGAAGACGGTGTAACCTATCCGAAACTACTCTATGAGTTATACCTCGAACTTAACTCATCTGGTGCGACCATAAGTCTCGAATAAGACCTTAAAAAACAAAATAGCTTAGTATTAACCAAAAATAGATTAGAAATTAGACAAAACATTTTCAAAATGTTACACGACAATAACTTAATTGAAATGTCTCTACGACTCAATAGATCAGAGCCGCTGTTCCGCACAATACGAGAACTACCCGGTATTGGAAAAAGACCTCGGACAAGAGACGACATACGACTACATCGAAACTTACCATTTAGTTTCATGGTCGTACGGCAAAAGCCACCACAAACTTTTATTTTTAGAATCTTACTAGCAATGAATTTAGATTTTCATTTGCAAACATAAGATCATTGAAAGAAATCTTCAATGATTATTTCAGGCGCTAGATAAAATTACTATTGTACAAAAACAA